CAACAACCCCTCTCCTGTCTGTTGGGCCTAGAACCCCAGGCCACAGCCTGAGAATAAATCGTAAAGTATTTAGTTCTGGGATGAGAAACTTCACCATTAAGCAAGTTCAGGATAGAAATTGATACATTCCTAGTTACTAAGAACATCAAGGGAGGTGGATATATGAGACTGAGATAGATGACCAGTCACTGAGTCATACAGCACAGAAACAGACCCTTCGGCCCAACCAGTCCATGCTGACCATAATCCCAAACTAAACTAGTCCCACCTGCCTGCTCCTGGCCCATATCCCTCCAAACCTTTCCTATTCATGTACTTATCCAAATGTCTTTTAAATGTTATAACTGTACCCACCATCCACCACTTCCTCTGGAAGTTCATTCCACACACAAACCACTCTCTGTGTAAAAAAGTTGCCCCTCATGTCTTTTTTAAATCTTTCTCCTCTCACCTTAAAAATATCCCCCTAGTCTTGAAATCCCCCACTTTGGGGAAAAGACACATGTCATTCACCTTATCTCCACCCCTCATGATTTTGTAAACATCTATAAGGTCACCCCTCAACCTCCAACACTTCAGTGAAAAAAGTCCCAGCCTCTGGGTAGCTCAGTGTTTAGCACTACTGCCTCACAGCACCAGGGACCTGGGTTCAATTCCACCCTCAGGTGACTGTCTGTGTGGAGTTTGCATGATCTTCCTGTGTCTGTGTAGGTTTCCACTGGGTGCTCCAGTTTCCTTCCACAGCCCAAAGATGTGCAGGTTAGAGTGGATTGGCCATGCTAAATTGTCCATAGCGTCCAGGGATGTGTGGATGCTCTGAGGGTCAGTGTGGACTGTTGGGCTGAAGGGCCTGTTCCCACATTGTAGGGATTCTATGATGAACTCAAACCTTCCACTCCTGGCAACATCCTGCTAAATCTATTTTGAACCCTCTCCAATTTAATAACATCCTTCCTATAACAGGGTGACCAGAACTGGACACAATATTCCAGAAGAGGCCTCACCAACATCCTGTACAACATCAAAGTGACATCCCAACTCCTAAATTCAAATGGCTGAGCAATGAAGTTGTGGTCTAGAAGGGCATACAGGCTCAAGGGGATGAATGGCCTCCTCTTGCTTCTTGTTTCTAGGTTCCCACGCTCTTGGTTCTACTTCCAAACTGTGGTAACTTTAGCTTCTTCCTGAGAGTGGCTTGATTTAATGTCTTTGCCAAGAGAAGGAACCTCGGGCAGTGCAGCACTCCCCCTGGTGCTGCACTGAGGGTATCTGTCTAGGTTTTGACCCCAAATCCCTAGATTGGGACATGAAAATGTGTGTGGGGTCCCCTCCGAACAATCCATGCAGCCAAATTGTGAATTAACTAAGGCTGGGAATGACCAGGTAAGGGTTGTAGGTGGGTGCCCATTCAGCCCATCAGTAACGCGGCTTGCTTCACATCCCCTGCCTTTTCCCTGTATCCCTGCAAATTAACGAAAAGGCGTTCCATGCTGGATTTTGGTCAGGCTGAAATGTATTGCTAAAATAAAAGTTGACACGACCGCACTTGAGATTTGAAGAGAGAGAGAGAAAAGCGATATCTGGGCCAGCCTCATGTTTGATAAGGTCCGATCTGATCGTTGCAAACTGCAGAACTCTAAAAGCAGCGCTGCGTGGTTACAAGTTGGATCAGTTCGATACTATCTCAGTGCTAGGACATTTTCACAGAATCATAGGTCAACACAGCACAGGCCACTCTGCCCATCATGCATGTGTCAGCTCTTTGGAGGAACTGTCCAATTGGTCCCACTCTCCCTAGTTGTTTCCTTCACAGAGCTGTTGTCCAAATCCCATTTGAAAATTGCTGGAAAGTCTGTTCCAACCATCCCTACAGCCAATGTGCTCCAAGTCCTTGTCACATACACTGTAAAGATTTTGAGGCAGGAACTTCAGTTAGAGCCAAAGTCTCCTCAGATCCAGAGCTGTGATGTGGACCAAGTGGACTTGTTTTAAATTCTCTGTTTGGTTTTCTTTATTACAGAAGAAGCACTGTTATTCTGAACTTGTTACTTCTTTATTTTTCTTATTTATTCTTATGATTTTGTACTTTTGAATTTCTATAACGCTGGACCTATTCATTTCTTTATTTTGTGTCATTTTTTTTTCCTAAGAGTTTGTACTCAAGAATACTCAAGGGTAGCTCAGTGGTTAGCACTGCTGCCTCACAGCACCAGGGACCCGGGTTCGATTCCACCCTTGGGTGACTGTCTGTGTGGAGTTTGCACATTCTCCCCCTGTCTGTGTGGGTTTCCTCCGGGTGCTCCGGTTTCCTCCCACAGTCCAAAGATGTGCGGGTTAGGGTGGACTGGCCGTGATAAATCACCCATAGCAGCCAGGGTAGGGGATGGCTCTGAGTGTGATGTTCTTTGGAGGGTCCGTGTAGACTCGATGGGCCGAATGGCCTGCTTCCACACTGTGGGGATTTGGAGAATCTGCACCTAGGTACCTTTGTGCCTAAGGTGGCAACTTGTAAACTTTTCATTGTACTCATTTGAGTACATATGACAATAAAGCTCATTCAATTCAAGCTCCTCAGTAAATTCTCAAGCTTGCAGTGTGACTGTGTGTGTGAAGTGCTGGTTCATTAGACTTCATAAATTCTGCAGTTTGCTGGTTGATTCCAAAGTGAAAGCGGGAGTGTTGGTCTCAGGGAGTGTGCCATTGTACATTACGCACTGCCCTCCTCTACTGTATCTTCAATGCAACCTTTCTGCCCATCTGCAAATGACTAGCCCCTTTCACTTATCACCCCTGTGCTTGCTGACTTATGTTAGGCCCTACCTCAAAGCTAAAAATGTCATCCTACTGCTATAAACCAGGCTGTGGGAAAGATAGTAGCCTAGTGGTATTGTCATTCAGACATCCAGACTAATGCTATGGGGTTATCGGTTCAAATCCCAGCATGCCAGATGAAGGAATTTAAATTCAACTAATAAACCTGCAATTGAAAGCTAGGTCTATCAATGGTGACCACAAAATGATTGTTGCTGGTCTGCTTTAGGGAAGGAAATCTGCTTTTTTTTATAACCCGTAGGGGCTACATGTGACTCCAGACCCACAGCAATGTGGTTGACTCCTAACTGCACCCTGAGATGGTCCTGGCATGGCAGTCAGTTCAAGGGTAATCGTAGGGATGGACAACAAATGCTGGTCTTGCCAGCAATGCCCATGTAAAAAGAAAATTGATTCTGCCTGTAGAAATGGCAATATGTTTCCAAGTCAGGATAATGGACTTGCAGGGGGTGGTATTCCCAAATATCTGCTGCCCTTATCCTTCTCGATGGTAGAGGTTGCAGGTTTCGAAGCTGGTGTTAGAGCTTTAATAAGTTTCTACAGGGCATCTTGTAGATGGTACACACTGCTGCTACCGAGCGTCGGTGGTGGAGGGAGTGGGATGTTTGTGGATGTGGTGCCAATCAAGCGGGGGCTGCTTTGTCCTGGATGGTGTCGAGCTTCTTGAGTGTTGTTGGGACTGCCCCCATCCAGGGCAAGTGGGGAGTATTCCATCACACTCCTGACTTGTGCCTTGTAGATGGTGGGACAGGCTTTGGGGGAGTCAGGAGGGGAGTTACTCGCTGCAGGATTCCCAGCCTCTGACCTGGTCACTGTATTTATATGGCTGCTTAAGACCTATTTACATTTCAGATGAAAGGTCACTGACCTTAAACATTAATTGTTTCTCTCTCCATAAATACCACTTGGTTCTGTTGAGTTGTAAAATTACAATGCCTCCTTCTGAGGTACAGAGTTACCTTGATCCCATTGTCAGATACAGCATGGGTAACAAAAAGTGGGACTGCATTAACCATACACAGAGAAAGGAGTCACATTTTACCATTAGACCTCTAGAAAGATTGGGTTTGAGCAAGTACACTCAGTCTATCAAAACTGATATAGAGTCATAGAGCTGTACAGCATGGAAACAGACCCTTCAGTCCAACATGTCCATGCTGACCAGATATCCTAAATAAATCTAGTCCCATTTGCCAGCATTTGGCCCATATCCCTCTCAACTCTTCCTATTCACATACCCATCCAGATGCCTTTTAAATGTTGTAATTGTACCAGCCTCCACCACTTCCTCTGGCAGCTCATTCCATACACGCACCACCCTCTGTGTGAAAAAGTTACCCCTCAGGCCCCTTTTTAAATCTTTCCCCTCTCACCTTAAACCTACGCCCTCCAGTTTTGGACTCCCCCACCCTGGGGAAAAGACCTTGTCTATTCACCCTACCCGTGCCCCTCATGATTTTATAAACCTCTATAAGGTCACCCCCTCAGCCTCTAGAACCAGGGAAAACCCAGCCTATTCAGTCTCTCCCTGTAGATCAAACCCTCCAACCCTGGCAACATCCTTGTAGCCCTTTTCTGTACCCTTTCACATTTAACAACATCCTTCCTATTGAAGGGCAAACAGAAATGAACACAGTATTCCAAAAGTGGCCTCACCTACTCATCCAAATCAGTCCCTTTTCTCATTTTCTCCCCCTTCCCTTTGATCCCTTTAGCCCTCAGAACTAACTCTAACTCCTTCCTGAAAACATTCAATGTTTCAGCCTCAGCCGCTTCCTGTGGCAGAGAATTCCATAGGCTCCCCACTCTCTGGGTGAAGACATTTCTCCTCAACTCAGTCCTTTTCCATATCCTTAGACCGTGACTCCCTGCTTCTGGACTCCCTGGTCATCGGGAACATTCTGGCTCTGGCAATTCCTGCTGGAATTTGTTAGGTTTCTATGAGATCCTGCCCTCATTCTCCTGACGGCCAGTGAATTTAGTCCTAACCGACCCATGTGTCAGTCCTGCCAACCTGGGGATCAGTCCTGATAAAGTTTTGTTTCAGCTCCTTATACAATCCTAGTCACTTTCTGCAAATACACCAGACCGCTACACGCAAGTGTAAGCTCCAAAGACAGTCAGAACAATAACCAGCGCACATTGCCAGCTAGTGGTAAGGGATTTACCAGATCCGTGACTCTTCTGAGGGACAGGCGTCAACAGGGAGAGGGTCAGGGGGCACTGCACCGTGCCTTCACTCTGTGGGCTTTTGTTACGTTTCTTGCACTCCAGTACCACCATGTCCCGGCAATGTTTGTGACAGTTGATGCCACAGTCTGTGGAGACGGGAGAAGAGAACATAATCAGTTAGACTCTCGGTTACAGTCTCACCCTGCGCCAACATCCACACACCCCCCACTATCTGTCATGTTACAGAGCAGACAGACTTTAGCCCACACTGACCCTCCAAAGAGCATCCCACCCAGACCTAACCCCCTACCCTATCCCTCTAACCCTGTGTTTCCCATAGCTGACCCACTTAGCCTGCACACGATGGGGAAATTTCCCATGGCCAATCCACCCAAACCTGCACATCTTTGGACTGTGGGAGGAAACCCACACAGACTCGGGGAGAATGTGCAAACTCCACACAGACAGTCGCCTGAGGGTGGAATTGAACCCGGGTCCGTGGGGCTGTGAGGCAGCTGTGCTAAACACTGAGCCACTGTGCTGCCATTTTTTCACCAAAAACCCTCAAATATCACCTTCCAAACCCATGACCACTTCAATCCAGAAGGACAAGGGCAGCAGATACATGGGAACACCACCCCCTGCAAGTTCCCCTCCAAACCACTCACCATCCTGACTTATAGAGTCACACAGAACTGAAACAGCTTGTCCTCATTGACTGAAAATCCCAATCTCATCTAGTCCCATTTGCCAACATTTGGCCCATATCACTCTAAACCATTCCTATTCATGTACCCATTCAGATGCCTTTTAAATGTTGTAATTGTACCAGCCTCCACCACTTCCTCTGGCAGCTCATTCCATACACGCACCACCCTCTGCGTGAAAAAGTTACCCCTCAGGTCCTTTTTAAATCTTTCCCCTCGCAACTTAAAGCTGTACCTTCTAGTTTTGGACTCCTCCATCCTGGGGGAAAAGACCTTGGCTATTCGCCCTATCCATGCCCCTCATGATTTTATAAACCTCTATAAGGTTACTCCTCAGCCTCTGACACCCCAGGGACAGTAGCCCCAGCCTATTCAGCCTCTCCCTATAGCTCAAACTCTCTAACACTGGCAACATCCTTGTAATTCCTTTCTGTGCCCTCACAAGTTTAACAACTTCCTTCATATAAAAGAATATGGAAATATATTGCCGTTTCTTCAGTATCTCTAGGTCAAAATCCTGGAATTCCCTCCCTAAGGGTATTGTGGGTCAACCTACAGCACATGGACTGCAGCAGTTCAAGAAGGCAGCTCATCCGCACCTTCTCAAGGGGGCAACTAGGGATAAGCAATAAATGCTGGGCCCAGCCAGTGACACCCACATCCCCGCAAGTGAACAAAAAAAAATTGAGGGATTCTTAGCTGTGTATTTAAACAGAAATAACGCACAGGGTTATGGGAAATGGCACTAACTCTCTTCTGGAGAGCTAGTGCATATGCTGAGGGCTGAGATTCAACACGTTTTGAGTTTTAACAAAGAATTTAATTTAACTTTTAGAATCATTTCTGCGGAGGAACAGAACTTAGGAGGGTTCATGAAAATATAGACATTTCCCCCCAACTTGAATTCTGAGGAAGGGTCACCAGACCTGAAATGTTAACTCCGATTTCTCTCCACAGGCGCCGGACCTGCTGAACTTTCCTAGCTATTTCTGTTTTTGTTCCGGATTTACAGCATCCGCAGTTCTTTCGGCTTTTATTTAGCATTTCCTTCACCAACCCCGTTACGACAAAACTCTGGAGCATAGGGGATTTGAACAAGGGTTCATAGGTCGGAGATAGGGAACTACCATTCCATCACCAGAGCAAGCTAACAGCCTAACAGTATTCCGAGTTAAGTGATTGATATAGTGTCGAATTGGTTTATAGTGTGTGTGATGATACTATGGCTTTAAGAGGTATATTTTGTCCTGGCCTTTTTTGAAGAGAGGTTTTACGACAGAGGTACTGAGCTGTCTATTTGAATTCAACAAAGTAAGCAGCTTGTGAGACCTTGCTTTTTTTTTAAAAGATGGAACAATAGAAGCAGCCTGAATGGGTGGGGTCAAGCTCCCACAGAACTGGGACTTTTAGTTTTGATTTTTCAGTTGCTGGAGTTTGGAAGCTGCATCTTTCCCTGCTAATATACACTCTCTCTCTCACACACACACACACACACACAGAGTTTTCTCTTGATGTTTTTCCTCCTGGACTGGAGAAGTGCCTGTGAGACAACTTATTTTACTGAATTTGCCTTTGCCAAGGGTGTGTTGATGGGATGGTACTATGTTGGAACAGTTACTGTTTAGTAGTTAAATAATCTATTATTCTGTTATGTCTTCCAGTAGAGTTAAGTTATTCCAATTTCTTTTTTCTTTTGTTGTATTTTAACTACAGTGAATAAGTAAACAGTGTTTTGCTTTAAGACTGGTACTTTGACCAACTGAATTGCATCTGGAATGCAAAGCCTGGCACCTGTCATTAAAATAAGAAAAAGTTATGGTCAGTTTGGGAAACTTGGGCAGCATGGACGAGTTGGACCGAAGGGTCTGTTTCCGTGCTGTATGACTCTGTGGCTCTGTGACTGACTCTAGGATATGTTGAAGGGGTTTGGTCTGGTCCATAATAAGTGGGCTTACCTGCGTGGGAACGATCTTGACCTGCTCAAACTCAGCACAGAACACAAAGAGTGTGTGCTGTTGTTACGGACTGGACCAAAACCCCCACCCAAAACATATCAAGGAGATAGCCTAGACACTAACTTATTTAAAGGCAACTGTAAGGCACTGTGCTCCAGCTGTAATTCGATTGGTCAGACTACCAGCCTTGAAGCAAACCACACTTTGTTCTAACACCACAGTTAAAATACAAACAAAAAAAAAGAAGAATTTGCACAACTTTAACTGCTACTCATCAACTGTTCCAATATCCCATGGACACACCCTTGGCAAAGGCAAATTCAGCAAAACAGATATCTTTCACTTGCAATCTCCTCCAGTCCAGGAGAAGGAACACTGACAGAATAAGTCTAGCAGCAAAGAGAGAGAGAGAACTTGGGCTTTAGCAGCAGCAGAGAGAGAGCTGTGTCTAGCAGCTTCAACTCCAAAATCCCCAACTTCAACAACTAAAAGCAAGAAACTAAAACCCTGTCTCTGTGTGAGCCTGATTCCACCCGCTCATGCTTCTTCTGTATAATTTAAAAATAACCCAGAGCTATATACTCTGCTTTCCGTGGAGTAGACACCTCGGCACCAGGTCGACAACACCCCTCTTCAAGAGAAACAGGAGAGACCAAATCCCTGATAAAGGCACAGGTCGACACATCGTGTAGATGTTTAGGGTTAGGCTTGTCCAATGGGCAATCCGTGTGCCACCGAGAAATCCCATGCCCCCTCTCCCCACCTTGAGTCTTTGTTCAAAGGATAAGAAAATGCAAGTGGAAGGTTTTGAAAGAGGCTGATGGGATGTTTAGAGGGCTGGGCCTCTCCTGAGAGACTCCCGCACATTGTTGTGTGGGGCCAGTGAGGGTGGGCCATAGAAATCGATCCAACGACACCCTTCAAAAGGTCAATTCTCAGGGCCACAGGGGAATGGATTGGCTCTCCCGAAAGAACAGGCACAGCCAGGACAGCCCAGGTCTTTGAAGAGTGGGCAATTCTGTGAAAGCTGCATTACATCAGATGGCTAGCAGCGGTGGTACCGCAAGTGGCCTCTCCCATGAAGATGGGAGTGAACCTTCACTGTGATAGCAATCTCCTTTGTGGTTTTGCAAACTGTGAGATCTCATACCTCACATTTGCTGAAGTTATTTTTTTCTCTCTGCAGCGGTCTTTTCAGAGCACACATGGAATAATCTAGGCTCAATATCACACTCTGTTATCAACACAAACAAAGTAGCAAAGCCACGTCTGATTGTTGCCATTCCTCAATGACCAATAATGGTCCTGCATTTATATAGCGCTCTGAAAGGAGTGGCAGATCGCAAGGTGTTTCACGGCAGTGTTGAAACCAGGCCAAAATCAGCCACAGGAGGAGGTAGCAGGGTAGGCTTCAAGGAGTCGGAGTGATGCAGAGGTGTTGGGAGAGAAGGCCAGGGCGTAGGCCACAGGCTGCTAAAAAACATGGCTGCCAAATGGTGGAATGTAGGAAATAAAGAAGGCAAAGCCAAATAGTCCGGCTCCCTCTCATTAGGGAGAGACGACAGGTGGTAGTTTAACCTGAGGGTCACCATGCCTCAGGTGAAGGGAGAGGTTGGGAAGGAGGGCCCTTCGTGGTGACCTCAGCCAATGATGGGAATGGAACCCACTCTGTCAGCGTCACTCTATCAGCTGTCCAGCCAACTGAGCTAACCGAGCCTCAGAAATAACAGGCGGACAATCAGAGGAGTGCAGAGATCTCAGAGTGTGGTGGGTTCCAGAGGAATGGAGGGGCCACGGGCGCAAGAATGACAATTTCAAGACTGAGGCCTTTAAAATTGCACCCAATTACTTCCATGTCCCCAAGGACTGCAGAGCAGCTTCTTCACACAAATTGGGTGTGAATGTTTCGATTGATCTGCCCCTTGCGAGGCTTGGACACTCACAATCATTGAGTATATCAGGATGGAGATGGATAAGTTTTTGGAATTGTGGGAAACTGGGATGATCACTGAGGGAGAAGGTCCTTCTGAATGGCAGAGGAGGGGAGAGGCCCAATGGCCTACTCTTACAGCTTATTCTTCAGTTCTTATTTCAGCTCTGGGTGTGGCCAGTAGCATGGGAGAACAAGAGAGAGAGAAAAATACAGCCCTGTTCACACCTACAACAAATGTGAAAAAGACTCCGATTCTGAGATCACAAAGTTAGCGAGTCACAGAGGTTTTAACAGAACGGAAAGAGACCTTTCGGCCCATCGCGTCTGCGCCAGTCATCAAGCAGCCATCTATTTCTCAAATAAAACAAGGAATTGGTGCATGCTGAAAATGTGAAACCAAACAGGAAGTGCTGGAGAAACTCAGCAGGTCAGGAAGCATCAGCGGAGAGAAAACAGAGTTAACGTCTTGAGTCCATTTATTCATCTATTCTAATCGCATTTGGCCATTTTTTTTGTCATTCCAAGTAAATCCTTTTTCAATGTTATGAGGGTTTCTGCCTCTATCACCTTTACAGGCTGTGAGTTCCAGATTCCCTCCACCCTCTCAGTAAATGGCTCTTTTCTCAAATCCCCTCAAATCCCGCTTCTTTCCTTAAAGCTGTGCCCCCAGGATATTGCCTCCTCTACAAAGGGGAAATGTTTCTCCCTGTCTGTCCTGGCTATGCCGCTCAGAACTCTGTACACCCCCATCAGGACCCCCCCACCCCCCCCCCCCCCCCCCCCCCCCCCCCCCCCTTCTCCGCTCTAAGGAAAACACCAGACTCCGAACTTCCCAGGAAATATCCACGATCAGGGCAGTGGCAGCATCAGAATGGGGTAGTTAGAGTCATAGAGGTTTACGGCATGGAAACAGGCCCTTCGGCCCAACATGTCCATGCTGCCCAGTTTTCACAATTAATCTCGTCCCATTTGCCTGCGTTTGGCCCATATTCCTCCATACCTATCCCATCCATGTACCTGTCCAAACGTTTCTTAAATGACAGAATTGTACTCCCTTCCACCACTCCCTCTGGCAGCCCATTCCAGACACTCACCACCCTCTGTGTGAAAAAATTGCCCCTCTTGACCCGTTTGTATCTCTCCCCTTTTACTCCATGCTCTCTAGTTTTAGACTCTCCCTACCATGGGGAAAAGCTGTCGGCTATCTACCCTTCCCTATGCCCCTCATAATTTTATAAACCTCTATAAGGTCACCCCTCAGTCTCCTATGCTCCAGGGAAAAAAAGTCTCGGCCTATCCAACCTCTCATAGTAACTCAAACCTTCTGGTCCAGGTAGCATCTTGGTAAATCTTTTCTAAACCCTCTCCACTTTAATAATATCCTTCCTACAGCAGGGAGACCAGAACTGGACACAGTTCTCCAAATGTGGCCTCACCAACATCTTGTACAGCTACAACAAGACGGTCCAACTCAATGCTCTGACTGATGAAAGCAAGCATGCTGAAAGCCTTTAGATTCAATGGCACATTGTCCTTGTCCACTGCCAGTGCTATACCTGAAAAACCAACTGCCCCTTCCCCATCTCGGCGATAATGCCCCTTTCGATACACGCTTCAGGGTTCCACAGTCAATGTGACATGGTAAATTAGAAATGATTTTTAGAGATAAGGAAGGGCAGGGGTCCCACTGTAAGAAATACCCTGGGGTATCTAACACGCTAAGCTCCCATTCCCCTATATCCCCATCCACATTCGTCCTCCCCACCCCACTTTTACCAAATTTGACAAGTCTAACTCCCATACCCCATCAAATGCACAGGACATTGGTAGGCTCCTTTTGGAATACTGCATTCATTTCTGGTCTCCCTGCTATAGGAAGGATGTTGTGAAACTTGAAAGGGTTCAGAAAAAATTTATAAGAATGTCGCCACAGTTGGAGGGTTTGAGCTACAGGGAGAGGCTGAATAGGCTGAGACTATTTTCCCTGGAGCATCGGAGGCTGAGGGGTGACCTTATAGAGGTTTATAAAACAGTGAGGAGGGTGGATAGGGTGAATAACCAAGGTCTTCTCCCCAGGGTAATGGAGTCCAAAACTAGAGGGTATAGGTTTAAGGTGAGAGGGAAAAGATTTAAAAGGGACCAAAGGGGGAACTTTTTCACACTGAGGGTGGTGCGTGTATGGAATGAGCTGCCAGAGGAAGTGGTGGAGGCTGGTACAATTACAACATTTAAAAGGCACCTGGATGGTGTATGAATAGGAAGGGTTTAGAGGGAATGGGCCAAATGTTGGCAAATGGGACTAGATTTATTTAGGGTATCTGGTCAGCATGGACGAATTAGGGCAAAAGGCCCATTTTTGTGCTGTACATCTCTATATCTCTATAACTGCAGCTCTTTAAATACTCAGATGTTCATATCTGTACTGATGCCAACTCTCAATTACCCATTGATCCCGCACTCACTGGCACTGGCGATGGTTCAATGTTAAAATTCCGCTCTTTGCTTTCAGGGTGGCCTTGGGCTGTTTTACTATGTTAAAGGCGTCGTATAAATGCAACTTGCTGCTGGAAAGTGAAAAATATGGTGACCCTACTTACCCTGACACCTGTATCCTTGTTTAATGACACCCCACAACTGTAAAGGGGAAAAAGAAAGAGGAATTAATTTTGGGTCGAAAATATCCACCTCTGCAATAAGGTCAGCTACATTGTTAAACATACAAAGGAATGTTGTGAGAGAACTGTGCCGTTCTCAGCCATATAGCTGCGATAATATTGGCCAGAATTGTTCAGAGAGGTCTGATTAGATTCATACACGCACAGTGTTCACCTCTCAGTGACACTGACCACAAATGCAAGCCCATAATTAAACACAACTAATTTACAAAGAACAAGTGCCACTCCTTACTTAATAAAGGGAATGGCTGCTCAGGTGAGGACAAAGCCTAGTGTTTATGGAATGAATGGATTAATTATTGATCCCGTGTGATCTGCAGGGATTTCCAACCACTGGGAGCACGGGATGGAGATCTGAAGTTATAACACAGATCCAGTGCCTTCAGCTTGTGAGGCTATCCCTCCAACCACAGGAGGGGTCTGGGGAGGGTCTGTTATTCACCATTATGAGTGTGATAGCACGCCAAGCGCTCTCATGCCTTACCTTCTGCCGCCTCCACCTCCCTAGCAAGATATGTGCAGCAGCTACATGGGAGCACCACACATTCCCCTCCGAGCCACTCACCATCCCAACTTGGAAATATATCGCTGTTCCTTCACTGTCGCTGGGTCAAATCCTGGAATTCCCTCCCTAAGGGCATTGTGGGTCAACCCACAGCACATGGACTGCAGCAGTTCTAGAAGGCAGCTCACCCCCACCTTCTCAAGGGGGCAGTTTGGAGAGGCAATGGCCCAGGTCATGATCTGGAGTTCAAATCCCACCACAGCAGACGGTGGAATTTGGATTCAATAAAAATCTGGAATTAAGAGTCTAATGATGACTGTGAATCCATTGTCAATTGTTGGGAAAAACCCATCTGGTTCACTAATGTCCTTTAGGGAAGGAAACTGCCATCCTTACCTGGTCTGGCCTCCATGTGACTCCAGACCCACAGCAATGCGGTTGAATCTTAACTGCCCTCTGGGCAATTAGGGATGAGCAATAAATGCTGGGCCTAGTCAGAGATGCCCTCATCCAGTGAATGAATAAAAAAAGAAATTAGGAATGGGCAATAAATGGTGACTCAGTCAGTGATGTTCACCTCCTCTAAACAAATAAAAAGTAAACACAAAATTTTTACAAAAGCACAATAAATTCTACCAACAATGCTGATGGAGTGTGTGATGATGATAAGTAATTGGTTTTGTTTTTGTCATGTTGATTCAGAGATCAGTATTGTCCAGGACACTGGAGAGTAATCTCACATTCACCATCATAATGGGATCGTTTACCATCAATTGGGACCTCGCTTTAACATCCCACTCAAAAGGCAGTACCCCTGACAGTGCGGTGCTCCTCCAGCACTGCACCAAGAGTAGGCCTTTGATCTTGACAGACTGAAGCCCAGTAGTGGATCTTCAACTCAGGATTGTGTTGCTCTGAGGGAAGAGTGATACTAACTGAGCCACCTCTACCAGGCCTGGCATTCTCTGTCATTGCATCACGCTGGACTTTTTAATTTCTGTATTTTTCTAATTTTTTTTTCGTCTAAGAATTTGTTCTCAAGAATCTGTACCTAGGTACCTTTGTACCCAAGATAATGCCGTAAGTGGCCACTTGTAACCTTTTCACTCAATAAGGTACATGTGACAATAAACCTAATTCTAATTCTAATTCAACGACAACGATGTAGGGTATGCGGGGTGGTCTGATCTTAGAGTAGGATAATAGGTCAGCACAACATTGTGGGCCAAAGAGCCTCTACTGTGCTGTACTGTTCTATGTTCTATGACAAATGGAGGACTGCAGCGGTTCAAGAAGGCAGCTCACCACCACTTTCTCAGGGGGCAACTAGGGACAGACAATAAATGCTGGGCCCAGCCAGTAACGCATCCCACGAGTGACTTAAGAAAAACTTCCTCAATACTGATTTTTATCTTCCTCTTCAAATCCCACCTTTTGACCCCCTCCCCACGTAACATATTTTGTAGCTGAGAAATTTAATC